GTAGAATCGCTGTTTACCAACGTACCTGTGGACGAGACAATCGGAATGATAGCCGACAGAGTGTATCGTGATCCAGCCTGTACTCCTCTTGACATGCCAGAAAGTATTCTGAGGAAACTACTCCAAGCTTGTACTAAAGAGGCACCCTTCTTGAGCCCGGATGGGCACATGTATAAGCAAGTAGATGGGGTCGCTATGGGTTCTCCCCTAGGTGTCCTGTTTGCAAACTTCTACATGGGTACCATCGAGCAAAAAGTCTTAGTCGACATGAACTTGAAACCGGCCATATACTGCAGGTATGTTGACGACATTTTTACACAGGTACCTGATGTCAGACATCTGCAGGAGCTGAAGGAGGCATTTGAGCAGAGTTCCGTGCTGCGTTTCACTTACGAGACGGAAAAGGATGGGAAGCTGCCTTTTCTAGATGTAACAGTCATGGAAAAGGGCGGAGGTTTCCACACTGCAGTCTACACAAAGGAAACAAACATAGGAATGTGCCTAAATGCCAACAGCGACTGCCCTGACAGGTACAAGAGGAGTGTTGTTAACGCATACGTCGACCGTGCTCTCAGCCACAGCTCAGAATGGAAGCAAGTCGACGAAGAACTCTGTAGGGTAAGGCAGGTTCTAGTCAATAACGGCTTCTCCAATGGTTTCATCGAAGACATCATAAGAAGGAAAGTGAAAAGCCATGCAACCTCCGAAGAGACAACTAACACAACACCTATACCCCCTATTAGACTATTTTACAGGAACTTCTTTTCCACAGCTCATAAAACAGAGGAAAGGGTCCTGAAAGATATTGTTAATAGAAACGTTATCCCTACAGACAAAAATCAGAGGATACAACTGACGATTTACTATAAAACCAGAAAAACGGCCAGCCTACTCATGAGAAACTCTCCAGACACGAAACAGAACGCTTTAAAAGAGACTAACGTCGTCTATGCCTTCAAATGCCCACTTGGGGACTGTAAGCTCCAAAAACCAGTATATAGGCAAGACAACAACATCTCTTTCTAGGCGTTTAACGATGCATAAACAACAGGGCTCCATTAAGGAACATATAATCTCTTCCCATAACCAAACCATCGCCAGAGAAATCCTAGTAAACAACACAGAAATCATCGATAGATACAGCGATAGCAGGCGGCTTGACGTTTGCGAGGCACTACACATCAAGAAGTCAACACCAGCAATCAACAGCCAATTATTGCACAACTATATTCTACCCACCTCAAGACTCCGCTCCAATATAGAAGCATCAAGAAATATGGACCAATAGGCTTTCTACAAACACTTCTATTCAATATCCATTGTTTCGTGTTCTGTCTTGTGTTGATACTTTTAATACCCTATTAATATCCTCTAATGCCACATCATCCTTCCCACCTCACTCAAATGTAATGCCACATCACCCTTCCCACCTCACTCAAATGTAGATATAAAATCAGGGAAACGCAAGTTCTAATCAGTTGTGTATTTGTGAAGTCTTTGAAAATGTAATAAGTTTTACGAAACGCGCCCGTGTCGCGTCAGACTAGAAATAAAAATGAATTTTGGAGAAGTGATTTTGATTTACCTCCAACAGTGAAGCATAATGTACGAAAGATTGAGAAAATTCGTGTTAGAATTATTAATCTTACTTTTTCGGTCATATTTAATAAAATATATATATATATAGATATATATATATATATATATATATATATATATATATATATATATATATATATATATATATATATATATATATATATATGTCGTACCTAATAGCCAGAACGCACTTCTCAGCCTACTATTCAAGGCCCGATTTGCCTAATAAGCCAAGTTTTCAATGAATTAATGTTTTTTCGTCTACCTAACCTACCTAACCTAACCTAACCTAAGCTTCTTTTGGCTACCTAACCTAACCTTACCTATAAATATAGGTTAGGTTAGGTTAGGTAGGGTTGGTTAGGTTCGGTCATATATCTACGTTAATTTTAACTCCAATAAAAAAAATTGACCTCATACATAGAGAAAAAGGGTTGCTTTATCATTTCATAAGAAAAAATTATAGTAAATATATTAATTCAGGAAAACTTGGCTTATTAGGCAAATCGGGCCTTGAATAGTAGGCTGAGAAGTGAGTTCTGGCTACTAGGGTACGACATATATATATATATATATATTATTATTAAATATGACCGAAAAAAGTAAGATTAATAATTTTAAACACGAATTTTCTCAATCTTTCGTACATTACGCTTCACTGTTGGAGGTAAATCGAAAATCAATTCTCCAAAATTCATTTTTATTTCTAGTCTGACGCGACACGGGGGCGTTTCGTAAAACTTATTACATTTTCAAAGACTTTAGTTCACAAATACACAACTGAATAGAACACTACGTATCTCCGATTTTATATCTACATTTGAGTGAGGTGGAAGGGGTGATGTGGCATTAACACAGACAGAACAAAATGTGGTATATAATAGGGTATTAATTTCATCAACACAAGACAGAACAAGAGTATAATCTTGGGTTTTGTAACCCCAAGATTCCAAAACCCAAGATTCAAGAAGATTACAAATTCTTGAGGCAATTCACATAAGAATAGAGCGACCTACCATGAACACCCAAATCACGGAACTATTTACTCTACCCACCATGAGAGTAAGGACAAGACAAGAACATATCGATGCCAACACAGAAGACAATGTCCAACATAACAGGCCAATTACACTGGATTAATCTTTGTGTTTAGATAGGAGATGCCTCGTATGGGCCAATAAGCCTTCTGCAGCCCCTATGTTTATCCCTTATGTATCCCCCCATGTTTTCACCTTCATTGTATTATCACCTGACCTAATGCGGGTATAAAATCAACTAGTATTGTAAGATCTGTTCACTTGAGAATGAACCATGGAGGTTCGAAACGTCGTGCAAATTATACAAATAAGTGTAATACACTCTATAGTAAATCACTTCTTTTCTTCACCTTAAAAGTACGAAAATGAGTTTTGGAGAACTCCTATTTCAATTAAGCCCTGATGCTAAGAAAATAGTTAGAGGGATAGAAGCCCTAAACCAGAAAATAATAAATACAGAATATGCGGTCATATTCAATGAAACATATATATATATATATATATATATATATATATATATATATATATATATATATATATATATATATATATATATATATATATATGTCGTACCTAGTAGCCAGAACTCACTTTTTTGCCTACTATGCATGGCCCGATTTGCCTAATAAGCCAAGTTTTCCTGAATTAATATATTTGTTCTAATTTTTTTCTTATGAAATGATAAAGCTACCCATTTCATTATGTATGAGGTCAATTTTTTTTTATTGGAGTTCAAATTAACGTAGATATATGACCGAACCTAACCAACCCTACCTAACCTAACCTAACCTATCTCTATAGGTTAGGTTTGGTTAGGTAGCCGAAAAAGTTAGGTTAGGTTAGGTTAGGTAGGTTAGGTAGTCGAAAAACAATTAATTCATGAAAACTTGGCTTATTAGGCAAATCGGGCCTTGCATAGTAGGCTGAGAAGTGCGTTCTGGCTATTAGGTACGACATATATATATATATATATATATATATATATATATATATATATATATATATATATATGTCGTACCTAATAGCCAGAACGCACTTCTCAGCCTACTATTCAAGGCCCGATTTGCCTAATAAGCCAAGTTTTCATGAATTAATGTTTTTTCGTCTACCTAACCTACCTAACCTAACCTAACCTAGCTTTTTTTGGCTACCTAACCTAACCTTACCTATAAATATAGGTTAGGTTAGGTTAGGTAGGGTTGGTTAGGTTCGGTCATATATCTACGTTAATTTTAACTCCAATAAAAAAAAATTGACCTCATACATAGAGAAAAGGGTTGCTTTATCATTTCATAAGAAAAAAATTATAGTAAATATATTAATTCAGGAAAACTTGGCTTATTAGGCAAATCGGGCCTTGAATAGTAGGCTGAGAAGTGAGTTCTGGCTACTAGGTACGACATATATATATATATATATATATATATATATATATTTATTTATATATATATATATATATATATATATAATTTATATATATATATATATATATATATATATATATATATATATATATATATATATATATATATATATATATATATATATAAAATACAGTATACATTTGAGAAAATTGCTTGATGCCTAGATGAAAGAGACTGTTGTAGTTCTTTTTTACATTTTTCACATGGTTTTGTTTTCATTTTATGTTTAAAATTAAAATAATTAAATAACACATGTTTTTTGTATGTTTTGAGATTAATGCGCTTACTGTAAAACTTTTTAAATACAAAATAATAATTATGTCCTTCCTTTTAAACTTTATCTTCCTTGTGTTTTAATTTTAAACACAACATAAAAATATACAGGTATAATGAATTTATAAAAATTTATGTCATGGTGCCTTTTCCATGTGCTTGCTACCCCGAACTTTAGAACCTGGATACATAGCTTCCAGTAACTGATGAGATGATCGCTCGAACAGTCTCACTATTGGTTAAGGGGGCTCTTGATAAGCCTATTAAGCTTCTTAGGCTTGTTAGTCGCAGCATCTTTGGCAACACTATAAACTGAACAGTGTGTCTAACAATGGCAAATCAGACCAATTATACTAGAATATTGTACAGTATTGTACAGTATATAGCATATCTACCACATGTACTTAATATTGTACTGCATGTAGTCCATATTTCACAGAATATCTCCGTTGAAATTGGCTTCGAAAAAATTCAGTATAGAATCTGGAATAAGCTGCGATGATTTGTTTAAATTCTGGAGGAATAGGGAAATATTCACAGTATATATTGCTCAGGTGAAGCACATGTTGGGTGGAGCATCAAGCACCGCTATTTAGATTTTGTGTTGCTCCATATTAGAGACCATCATTGATAGGAGTTACAATACTCAGCTTTTCTTTACTTTCAGGTGTTACAATTCCTCCTGTGGACAATGAATGAGAAGAAGGCCCATGACAATGAAACAAAAGGGCCAGACACAGGTGAAGGGGAGCTGGAGATGGTACGCCATCAGAACACACAGTTACACCATGAGCAGGTGGGACTGCAGCAGGAGACTGGTATGTTGGAGGATACATCGGTGCAGGAGATGCAGCCACACGATGTCTTGCCCGTCCATAACACTAATCAGCAGGAACCAGATGGACCTAAGGAACCAGGAGGGCCTATCAGGAGACCGGGGTTTAGAAGTAAGTCGGGGATTGGGCCTCCGCCTCGACCATTTAAAAAAGCTAGGTATGCTTGGGAGATTAAGAACTATGAACATACTTTAAGCAATATGACTCAGAATTTAGGTGAATGTTCAACAGATATACAAGATGACAGTCAAGACTCTCAGTCCAGTGATGTGAACAGTGAGGGAAGTCAAGAAGATGGTGTCTTAGATCCCAGGGAGGGGTTACCTGTAGGCAACTTAGACAGAGCAGCTTTTTTGGATCCGAGAGCGAGGCCTCGACCTGATCTCATGCCGCCCATCATGCCTGCACCATATCCAACGACGTATGGCATGATGGCTGCTCCGCCTCCGCCTGATGCAAGCTTACGGCCAGGTGACTGCTTAAAGGAAGGTCAGCAGGTGCCTCCTGACCCAGATGCTGGCATATTGAGATGGCACACAAGACAGTTATGTCGCAGCATCTTTGACAACACTGTAAACCGAATGCTAGAGAACATGGGTTTCTCACCAGTAACGGAAAGAAGCCAAGGGATCCACCCTCTTTTAGTTTTAAGCTTAAGTGATGATGAGGAGCGGGAAGCGGAAGAAGCCCAACAGCGAGCATTAGAAAATGAAGCCCTTACTGCAGCCATGCATAATAAGGGTCTTTTTATGTCTCATTATGACCCACTAGAAAGTGGCACTACCACAGATTACGACTCGTCTGATGACGACAGTGATCTAGGTGAAGACCAAGGCCCAGATGAGCTCCATATGACGCACATGATCAGCAGACCGTTGCCTCGTGTACCTGCCATGCCTGCTGTGCCCACTATGCCTGCCATGCCCATTACATGCAATGTGCCACTGGCTCCCCCTAGCACCCAGCCCTCATCCCCACACTCGATTCCGCCCCATCGGCCGCAAGAGCCAGACTGTGATTTAAACAAGCATGCCTGTGATGCAGCTGTACCTGGAAAAGATGCAAGCTGTAGAAATGAATCTACCATAGACAACAACAACAAGAACTCTGTAGGGGACCACAGCGACGGCACGGCAGCAGAGAGTGAGGAAAGCAGAGATGAGGCCGATAGAAGGCAAGCAGACACTCCACACAAAGCAGAAAACGAGAACAACAACGATAAATTTTTTGTAGACCAAGCCATCGAGATGGCCATTAAACAACAAGGCTTGGGTTACCAGCAAGCGTGATGGCCACATACTTTATCTAGGTCAACAAGTTGAAATGTTCCGTGCTTTTCTGCCATCCCTTCCTGTGAGTGTTGCTGAATGTGTGAGTTTTAGACTAGTTTCTTGCTGGACACTTGAAATGATGTTACTTGTCATAGGTCATAATATAAAGCTTTTTACAAACTGACTTCGGGAAATTCTTTGCTGGTGAAGTCAAGCATCCAGTGACTTCATACTATACTTGTATTTCCTAGTCTTTTCAAAGTCATAAATTATGTTATATTTGTTTCAGAGTATGATACTCATTAACTTAGGATTTACTTATAGATTCTGGCATGTCATACTATTTCTATCTTGGCTTTGTTTACTGATTTACATGAACAAAGTCTCTCAAGAAAAAATCCTAGAGTATATATTATTAGAGACGTTATGAGCTTTAATGCGTTCAGAGTTACATTAAGAGGAAGCAAAGAGAATTGGTGAACAATTTTATTGGTTCTGTAAAACTAGAGTTTGATATGTATATCTTTATGTTTACTGCCTCACTCTGCTTCAACTTTATGTATCTTGTTGTATTCATTTCGTGACAATATGATATCACGTGAAATATCACTAAGTTCCTTATTTTGAACAACAAATCAAAGTTTATTCTTTTTTTTATGCTGTGTAAGCCAGTTTTGTTCTGGTATCCACTCCACTAGACTATGAAGGCCTTTTTCTGGAGGTGAAAATGTCCATCAGTGAGATCACACTTTAATTCTGAAGTGACAGCAACTAGATTGCTGACGTATCCTGCATAATGTTTTATGGTGTTTTTGTTTTGCATTACCTAACACACTCTGAATCTCTCTCAGATATTTAGGCACAAAACAAAAAGAGATTATTCTAATTTTGAACTTTGGTATAACCTCGTAATTTTTTTTAGTATTTTCTTTTATTTGGTATGACATATTCACTTCTGTATAACTGCTTCATTGGTGCTTAGTGGCTGGAGAAATGTTCCTTTTAGCTATTTATTTATAAATTAACTTTGTCTTGAATATCTTGAAAGCTGCTTGTTATAGCTTAATTGCAAAATTCAGGTGAAAAGTATTGATGGTCTAAATACCAGTCAACCAAACTTATAATGATTAACAGTGCATAACCAGGAGCTTTGCAAATCTCATTATTTTATATTTTATAACAGTAAACTATTGGCATTTATTAGCATTTATGCCTAAAAGAAAGCAATAGCTATTGATAATTATTTATTTTTAGGCATTGATAAAGTTCATTTGGAAAAGTCTTTAAGAAAAGGAATGAACTGGTAAGCTGAATAGGATCTGACTACCAACAAATATACAATGCAAGAGTGACTGAGTCTATTGTGATTTCTGAGGAATATTTGTGCCATGTTAGCATTAACAGGGTAACTGGGCTGTAAAGAAGTGTTGGATTAATTAGACAATTCTGGTTTTGGGGACTTAGGCCAGAAACTACCCTCGATGTTTATGCTGGTAGCTGAGATGTATGTGCCGAGATCCGTCTATCTTTTTGCTGGTAACTGGATTATGTGAGGATGTAAATTCTAAGGGTGGCTAGGGCTTTTGAAAGTCGGTTGATTTCAAACAAGTGTTGGAGGCCATTTTAGAGTATCGTGTGAAGATATGAGAATAATTGTTGGTGAGTAAGACTAGTGTTATTCTGATTAAGTGATAGGTTTTGTAAGTACTGTAATATAAGATGGGTGTGCATAAATGTGTGTGTATCGGTGCATGTGTATATATGGTTGTGATTACTGTATGCCCATGTGTGTGTCTTTGCTTGTGTGTGCGTACATGCGTGTGCATGTTTGTGTATGTGTGCATGCATGTGTACCGTGCGTGTGTATGTGTGTGTGTGTGTATAATTACCTATGTGTAGTTACAGGATGAGAGCTATGCTCGAGGTGTGCTGCCTTCCCAGTACTCTTTGTTATATAATGCTTTGAAACTACTGACGGTTTCGGCCTCCACCGCCTTGGACTCTTAGCTTGTTCCAACCATTTACCATTCTGTTTGCAAAAGAAAACTTTCTAATGTGTTTTCAGCACCTTTGCTTCCTTAGCTTGAATCTGTGACCTCTTGTTTGTCATGTTGCTGGTTTCAGGAATTCCTCTTTGTCAATTTGGTCAATTCCTGTTAGTATTTTTTAAGTGGTGAGCATATCACCCCTTTTTCTTCTATCTTCTAGTTTTAGCATGTTTAATGTCTCTAGTCTCTCCTCGTAACTCGTTTTTTAGTTCCTGAAGCCATTTTGTAGCATGCCTTTACACCTATTTCAGTTTCTTTATGTGCTTCTTGAGATTTGGGCACCATACAACTGCTGCATATTCCAATTTTGGTCTCACAAATGTCATGAACAGTTTCTTTAGTATTTCACCATCCATATAATTAAAAGCAAGTCTGAAGTTGGAAAGCGACACACATGCTCCTCTCACAATGTTCTTTGTGTTCTTCTGGCGATAACTTACTATCCAAAACCACCCCAAGGTCTCATTCTTTATTAGAGTTCTGTAATTCCTTTCCACATAATTTGTAAGTTATCTGTGGTCAATTTTCTCTGATTCCACATTCCATAACATGGCATTTATTCACATTAAATTCCATTTGCCACTTAACCCTCCAAGCACTTATTTTATATAGATCGATTTGAAGGGCATTACAATTGTCTGCGTCTCCTATCTTCCCCAGTATCTTAACATCATCCGCAAACATGTTCATATAATTCTGTATTCCTTCTGGTAGATCGTTTAATAGATGATGAACATTACTGGTGCAAGAACTGAACCCTGTGGTACTCCACTAGTAACACTTCTCTAGTCAGATACAATGTCTCTGATTACCGTCATCATCTGTCTGTCAGTTAGAAAATTTTTCATCCATGTCAGAAAATCTCATTGTCATTCCTCCAGCATGTTCCAGTTTCCTGAAAGGCCTCTTGTGTGGGACTCACTTTTGTGGGTCAAAAGCCCACTTTTTTAGGTCCAAATAGACACAGTCAACCCAACCACCTCTTTCATGTACAGTATTATCTCTGTGGCTCTATCATAAAAACTAAGTAGATTTGCTACACAGGATCTTCTTGTTCGAAAACAGGAAGACTCAACATACTGTGTGTCCATTGTTATGTCATTATTTTCTAGGTAATGTGTAATTACCTAAGTGTTTATAGGATGAGAGCTATGCTCGTGGTGTCCCGTCTTCTCAGCATTCTTTGTCATATAATGCTTTGAAATTACTGATGGTTTTGGCCTCCATCACCTCACCTAACTTGTTCCAACCGTCTACCACTCTGTTTGTGAAAGTGAATTTTCTTATATTTCTTCGGCAGCTTTGTTTAGTTAGTTTAAATCTAAGATGTCGTCTTCTTGAAGTTCCAGGTCAGGAAATCTTCCCTATCAATTTTATCAATTCCTAATCCTATTTGTACGTAGTGATCATATTGCCTCTTTCTTCTTTCTTCTAGTTTTGGCATATTTAATGCCTCTAACCTTTCCTCATAGCTCTTGTCCTTCAGTTCTGGGAGCCATTTAGATGCATGCCTTTGCACCTTTTCCAGTTTGGTGATGTGCTTTTTAAAATATGGGCACCATACAACTGCTGCATATTCCAGCTTTGGTCTAACAAAAATCGTTAACAATTTCTTTAGTATTTCTACATCCATGTATTTAAAAGCAATTTTGAAGTTAGAAAGTGTAGCATAGGCTCCTCGCACAATGTTCTTTATGAGGTCCTCAGGTGATAGTTTTCTCTGTAGAACCACCCCTAGATCTCTTTCTTTATCAGAATTTTTTAAAGATTTCACATAATTTATAGGTTGTGTGGGGTCTATGTTCTATTTCACATTCCATAACATGGCATTTATTCACATTAAATTCCATTTGCCAAGTGGTGCTCCATATACATATTTTGTGCAGGTTTTTCTTGAAGGGCATTACAATCATCTACGTTTCTTTTCTTCCCTATTATCTTATCATCTTCAGCAAACATGTTCATATAATTCTGTATTCCTTCTGGTAGATCGTTTATGTAGACAATGAACATTACTGGTGCAAGAACTGAACCCTGTGGTACTCCACTTGTGACATTTCTCCAGTCCGATACATTGCCTCTGATTACTGCCCTCATTTTTCTATCAGAAAATTTTTCATCCATGTTAGAAGCTTACTTGTCACCCCTCCACCACTCCAATTCAGCAATATGTCAATTGAACTTATTGAACATACTCACAAATAACATACATACTCACAATTACTTACTCCCTTTTTACACAAAATTACTGTCATCGAATAATTTAAAAAATCAGACAGTTATTCTTAAGAGAATGGAGGAAAGTGGGGAAATTATAAAAGATGGTTAGATCATCCACAATTAGATAACCACAAATTCCAAAATAAAAAAACCATCCACAAATTCTGGTAACCCAACTCTCTTGAGTAATCTGAATTAATTCACTTTTGAGTATTTTAGCCATTCTGACCCCTTAACCCGAATAGGAATTCAGATTAAAATGTTATACTGAATGAGAAAAATGACTAAATTCAAGTTTGAGTGCTTGAGTCTCAATTCAAATAAAACTTTGGGCTATTGAGATTCCTAACGAATGAAAAACCAGAATAGGTAAATGAGTAAAATTGATTTGCTCATTTTAGACATTGACTAAATTGAATGGAGGTGAGTCCCATATGATTAAGATTACATAGCATAGACAGTTTACCAATAAGTGAGATATAGCAGTAATATAATGTAAATAAAGTAACTGCAAAAGTAAATGATATACTGAATAAGAATTGAGGTATGCATTAAAGTCAAATAAGGCTGTGCAGTGTACCCAGGAATTTTGAATATAGAGAAATGCTTCAGTTGAATGATTCATTACGGACCTCTTCTGATATTCCGCAAAATTCAGTCTTTGCTATCTTTTGGCCACAATTAATATGCTTTTATTCATACAAAAATTAGAACATGATTTTGGATCTCAGGGATCACTTGTTGACACATCCCGATTCATCTGGGGTTCAGGGATTGGCTGGGGTTCGTCGTTTGGTGACAAGCTTACCGCTTTCGTTGTCGTCCATTCAGCTTGAATCTGGTACCTCGCTTTTTCACAGGCTTAACTCGGGTCACGGTGGCTCATCTGCGTCTTCAAGGTCTTCGGGTGTTGGCCTACCTCGACGGCTGGTTGGTGTGGGCTCCCAGCTGGTCTGCTTGTCTGCTAACCAGGGATCTGGTTTTTTCCCAGCTTGCCGGGTTCGGGTTCCTGATAAATTGGCGAAAGTCTCAGTTGGCTGGGCCTAGTGTGGGATTCTCAGAATGCGTCCATTTCTCTCTCTCTCCTGCAGCTCTGTTCTGGTTGCAGTCCTGCCTTCAGCTGTTTTTGATGTGGGACCCTGGGTCACTCGGCGGTTGCTTGAGCAGCTGTGCAGGAACCTGAACTTTGCTCTGTTAGTTTATCCACTTGGCAGGGTTTGGCTTCGGAGGCTGTTCTGGTATCTTCTAGATGACCTCTTTTACCGCTCTTGTGACTGCTGGGTTTGTTTCCTGGTGTCCTTGCGTCGGTTGCTGCGTCACCGGCTTCATCTTCGTGCTTTT